AGAGGTCATGCTGCCTCCATCATCAGGGCGATGAAGATTTCTGTCTTCTGGGTTGTTGCGCTGTGTAGTCTGGTTGATGTTAACCAACGTTTCAGAGGTCATACTGCCTCCATCATCAGGGCGAAATCTTAAATTACTTTTGTGTTTCCACTGAGATGACGTGTTTTGTTTGACTCCAAGGATAGGATCAGCTGTTTATGTTTTCTTGTTTATGACTTCTTAATTTTATCATACGTATTTCTTCTGATGTAACCAGTTATTTATGTTGTGCAGAAAATTGGCGTGCGCGCGACCAGTTTTTATGCCGTTCCACGAATGTGACCCGTTATTTATGTGTGAATGTGACGCGTTGTATGTGTTTGTGTATGCCCAGGGTTGCGACGCGGTATTGATGTGTTTTCGTGATTACGCCTCATGTGTCCATGGGGTGCAGTGCCAGCAAAAGTTCATGTGTTTGTATTGATATGACCTCTTACGAAAGCGTTTCTATTGACCTGACCCAAAATATGAGTTTTTTCGATCCATCGACGTGATGGGATACACACATATACAGGGTGATTCAATATTGCTTTTCGTAAATTTGGGGATGTTCTTTGTGAGCATAACGGAACGTCTATATTTTGATATATAGCCCTTTAAAATTTATGTGTGTTACAAATGTTTTGAGGCGTGTACATTTAACTTGTCCACCTTTGATATAGCTGTCCTCCGTAAATTGGTTGTCAAGGGAAGTTTTTTGTGGCGTTTGGTGTGGGGATACTCAACTATGCGACGAAAGTGTTTTCCGATCGAACCATCGTCTTTGACTCCGGAAACTGAAATATTATAAAGCAATACAGCATCGTTACTCGCTCGATTCTTTACTGTGTAACATCGCCATTTTGTACTAGAAGTCTCCGACTTTTCAAGAACACAGATATTACACAAAATTAATGATTAAGAAAATATTTATTTGGTGTGGAGATAAGCAGATAAATAAAAATGTACTTATTCATGTCTGGTCTTTTGGAAGACCTTTCAGTGTAAAACGACTGGACCTCGGCTTAATTCCGCGTTCATCTCAAGTGTGGGGTACATGCTTGGATATTCATCGTCCATGAAGTTAATTTCTCATTCTGTTGCGTGGAATCGCCCTCCTTAGTTCCATAACCAAACTGAGGTAGACATGACCTAGGGTCATACGTACTTCCTGCGCTCGTCGCAGTTAAATAATCTCCCAGCATCCGATATCATAACAGAGCACTGATGATTAGAATGTTGTTGTTGTTATTTATACTTGAGTTTCAGTAGATTTGGGCTCTACTTTTAAATGCGGAAGTATTGCGGATTCGTTCTTCAGGGTCAGATTATCGTAAGTATGGTCTAGAAATTCTCGTTATTTTACGTAACTCGTAGGTTCGATCACACACCAAAACAAAACCAACAGGTACAATTATAATTTTGAAGTTTTGGTATTTATGTTCTTAGACAGACGGGAAGACCAATTATTCTCAACAAAATGGTAGCAAACATTCCCCGAGATTAATCTAGTCTTCACTCATGCCCAAATGAAATTGTGAAAGTTTAACTATCATTACCGAATATCTGGAAGTTCTCTCTCTCTCTCTCTCTCTCTCTCTCTCTCTCTCTCTCTCTCTCTTTGCTACGTGAAGCTGAAATCGTAGTTCATAGTTTTCTAAAAATTGGTCTGTCGTATAAAAGTTCCTACAAGTTAGATCACGAAATTTAGCTAGGTCTCGTTGAGATCCGCCCGGCTTGCTGTGTATAGCGAGATACACTGAACTCCTTGACTGAAATATAATTTACAGACCTCACAAAACTGCTTTAAATTAACACAGATGTATGTATATATATATTCCAACTCAAAATTCGAGTGTATCCTTACATCTCTTCTTAATCTCCTACCTACAGGATTATGAAAATGACGGGCTGTCTCTTGAATTCGCTGATGGAGGCAGCAGGAACTCTTATCACCAGCACGACCCTCAAGAGTTTTTATTGCGTCAGATGTTCGGAAATTGTGTTCCATTTGTGGACATAGCTTTTGTATGGAGAGGATAATATCGATATGCCGACGATATATGGACTTATTACTTCTATGTTGATGGCTTTAGAGCCATATGACTGGCCTCTGTCGGCAAAAACACAGAGATGACCTTTGCACAATTTCTAATTGAACGCTTTTATTAAAACAAATTTCGGCTACGTTGACGACACTTTTTGATAACTGTGAATTGCCATAAACCCGTTTTCACTTAAATTTTCCAATTATCTAGGCCAGGACGAACTCATATAGCCGTTCAAGTTAGGTTCTGCAGACGCCAGAACCTTAACAATTTTTGCTGTTCATAAAATATGATTACGTTTATCAAACCAAGGAAACTGGTGTGTAACACAAAGGTTAGAAGTGTTTTCAAAATTTTATTCGGAACCCGGAAGGAAAGAGAGTACTTGGGAGACCTAGGCGTAGATGGAGGGTTACAAAATTAGCCTAAAGAGAGTAGGTTGACATGGTAATGAATCTTAATGTTCAAGGAATTTCTTGGCCAGATGAACGACTGTCAGATATTAAAAAGGGACTGTACTTCATGGAGTACAGACGGAAGAAGTTGAAGTTAAACAGCCATTTTGTCTTCTTCCCAGAACTCATGATATCAAAATGGAGGGCTCATTCTTAAAGCAGAAGTTTTTGTTCACGAGGGATTAAATAATGTGTGCATGCATTCGCAAGTGACCAGTCGGTTATGGTTTCAGTTTTATCTGTTGATCTTTGATGGCTGCTTTCGAAATTTATTGCCTTCCTCAAGGAAGAAAGTTGAAAGGCGAGGAAATAAACATATTAATGTATCCAGAGGCTGTTTGTAACAGTCAATGTCATGGCAGTCCACGTTCTGTGACATGGCGATTTATTACTGAAGTGTGCTCAGTTGACGCACGCTCACAGATGGCGTTGTTTCCCGTTTTTCCCACAATGCCCAGTAGCAGAGCGCCCTCCGGAGTATGTGAAGTAGTCGGCGACGATAAACGATGTCGTTCAGGTTCATTAAAACGTATCTTGACGTAAAACGAACCGAACTTTGTGACGTACTAGTTGCCTGCTGGGGTTTAGGGTTCGAATCTCAGTTGATGGCTTCTCTGAGGCTCGAAACATGTAGAATCCAAGAAAAAAAATAGAGTACTATGTTGTAATTTGATTACTTTTGTTCTGTCATGTAAGACGTTAGGTTAGGTTTGATAAGTGACGTTGCAGTTCGCGTTAAAGACGTGGTTGGTTCTGAAGATTTCTGTCTTCTGGGTTGCGCCATGTAGTAAGGTCGATGTTTACCAACGTTTCAGAGGTCATACTGCCTCCATTATCAGGGCGATGAAGATTTCTGTCTTCTGGGTTGTTGCGCCGTGTAGTCTGGTCGATGTTTACCAACGTTTCAGAGGTCATACTGCCTCCATTATCAGGGCGATGAAGATTTCTGTCTTCTGGGTTGTTGCGCCGTGTAGTCTGGTCGATGTTTACCAACGTTTCAGAGGTCATACTGCCTCCATTATCAGGGCGATGAAGATTTCTGTCTTCTGGGTTGTTGCGCCGTGTAGTCTGGTCGATGTTTACCAACGTTTCAGAGGTCATACTGCCTCCATTATCAGGGCGATGAAGATTTCTGTCTTCTGGGTTGTTGCGCCGTGTAGTCTGGTCGATGTTTACCAACGTTTCAGAGGTCATACTGCCTCCATTATCAGGGCGATGAAGATTTCTGTCTTCTGGGTTGTTGCGCCGTGTAGTCTGGTCGATGTTTACCAACGTTTCAGAGGTCATACTGCCTCCATTATCAGGGCGATGAAGATTTCTGTCTTCTGGGTTGTTGCGCCGTGTAGTCTGGTCGATGTTTACCAACGTTTCAGAGGTCATACTGCCTCCATTATCAGGGCGATGAAGATTTCTGTCTTCTGGGTTGTTGCGCCGTGTAGTCTGGTCGATGTTTACCAACGTTTCAGAGGTCATACTGCCTCCATTATCAGGGCGATGAAGATTTCTGTCTTCTGGGTTGTTGCGCCGTGTAGTCTGGTCGATGTTTACCAACGTTTCAGAGGTCATACTGCCTCCATTATCAGGGCGATGAAGATTTCTGTCTTCTGGGTTGTTGCGCCGTGTAGTCTGGTCGATGTTTACCAACGTTTCAGAGGTCATACTGCCTCCATTATCAGGGCGATGAAGATTTCTGTCTTCTGGGTTGTTGCGCCGTGTAGTCTGGTCGATGTTTACCAACGTTTCAGAGGTCATACTGCCTCCATTATCAGGGCGATGAAGATTTCTGTCTTCTGGGTTGTTGCGCCGTGTAGTCTGGTCGATGTTTACCAACGTTTCAGAGGTCATACTGCCTCCATTATCAGGGCGATGAAGATTTCTGTCTTCTGGGTTGTTGCGCCGTGTAGTCTGGTCGATGTTTACCAACGTTTCAGAGGTCATACTGCCTCCATTATCAGGGCGATGAAGATTTCTGTCTTCTGGGTTGTTGCGCCGTGTAGTCTGGTCGATGTTTACCAACGTTTCAGAGGTCATACTGCCTCCATTATCAGGGCGATGAAGATTTCTGTCTTCTGGGTTGTTGCGCCGTGTAGTCTGGTCGATGTTTACCAACGTTTCAGAGGTCATACTGCCTCCATTATCAGGGCGATGAAGATTTCTGTCTTCTGGGTTGTTGCGCCCTGATGACGGAGGCAGTATGACCTCTGAAACGTTGGTTAACATCGACCAGGCTACACAGCGCAACAACCCAGAAGACGGAAATCTTCAGACTCATCGCCCTGATGATGGAGGCAGTATGACCTTCGAAACGTTGGTTAACATCGACCAGACTACACAGCGCAACAACCCAGAAGGCGGAAATCTTCATACTCACCGCTGTGAAAACCTCAAATTGATCGGTTGTGTTCTTGTTACAGGAGAACTCGAAGGCTCGAGAAGTGGAGGTAGACATCGATGAGCTTCTGGACATGGACAGCGATGACCAGAGAAGGCGGCATTTGCAGGTCAGACACCAATTAATATCTGTAACGTACATTGACAACTGCGTATTCTCCTGCCACATGCCCTAGCTTCATCAACTTCTCGCCCACTCGGTGACGAAGATCCAGTAATCATTCACGAACTTCCTCTTCATGACGAAAATATTGATGTTCGGTGTGCGGTAATCGGACATTTCTTCACCGACTGCTCCCGTGCGGAGGCGCGGTGGGTCGTGGCCGGTTCGGCCGTCCACGAGACCGCGATTTCACGGTCAAACGGTTAACAAATCCACCCAGGATTGATATCAGTTCTAAGCTGATTTTAAATCGAATTTAATCATGTTATCTTATTTTCAGTTAACTACTAAGAAATGCTAAATACACTCGCATATGAACAATAGAAGTGCCATAATTATGTTATCTTAATTACGCAATTTAAAATTTTATCTTTCTACAAGACAATTTATTATGTAACTTCAACATCCTGAATTCATGGTATAGGTTAAAAACGAGCGTATTTTTAAGTTAGTACGCATCCATTCCACGGTGGTCTAGCGATTAAAACACTGGCCTTGTAATCCTGGGGTCTCGGGTTCGATTCCCGGCGGTGCCCGAATTTATAACTTGTGTTGGGCAAGGCCGTGGTCTAGGCAACACGGAGTTTTCCTCCGGGGGCTTCCCCGGTTTCTCCGTGGCATCCCAACAATTACTCCATCCACACACAGAAGAAGGCAATGGCAAACCACCTCTGGATCATCTGCCAAGAACGTATATGAACAGGGCCCAGTCCGAGAAAAAGAGGGAAGGATCCTGTTCATATGGACCTATCG